AAATAGAGGAATCTACCTGTGATTTTCAGATCAGATACATGTTGTATAAAAACACTAAGATCCAATGAATACTTACCCATTGGAGATGCACATGTGACATTAACTAGGAGTAAACAGATAAATAGAACACAGAAACCCATTAGCAGATACTTATAGAACATTAGGGTCTTTAGGCACTTGTGTTAGATGAGTTAGAAAAGAAGCAGAACCAGATCCCACTTGGTCAGGTTTGTTTACTCTTCTCATCAGAAATTAGAGCCAACCATCCTGGTATTGAATGACTTGATACAGTTCTGTAAATGGGCCAGTTTCTGCACATGGACCATAACACAAACACACTGTAAACATGCCTTCCTGTATTAGTTTAGTATTTAGATTAACTTGTACCCTTGGTGCTTTGATTCTAGAAAATATTCCCTATTTGAGTGTGTACCCTGGAATAGAGCAGATTAACCCTCTGTGTAGGCATATCTGTGTTCTATAAAAAGTTGCTTCACTTTTTTTCTGTTGTTTCTTTTTTCCTCTGCCCAGGTAGAATTCGGTTTACATATTTTGTGGAAAAATGCAAGTTACAAAAATTGAACACTTAACTTCTTTGTAAAAAAAGGACCGTTTCCTAAGAATTTGTGTATTTTTTCTCTCAGTGATATAAAAACACCCTAGCCTGTCATGATCATACTATTGAATTATTAAAGAAATCCAAATTGTTTCTTGGTTCCTTTTTCTTTAATGATAAACAACCACACTGTCTTTGGTCTTTGTTTTTACATTTGGTTGACAGGGCAAAATGGCTTTTATCTCCATTAGACCCAAACTCTTGGAAAGCAGACACCATTTCTCATTCATTTAGGAGCACATAGTATGCCCTTCATAAATGTTTGCTTTGTTCAAGAAAAATTGCTTAGGAATGTTTCATATTTCATAGAGTTTTCCAGTCAAATATAATGATGATTGGAAATAAGCTGTTCTGCTTGTTTTCTTGGCTTGAATGTCTTTAACAGATGATCATGCCATCTGTTTAGAATCAATGTTTCAGAGATGAGGAAGAAAGCATTTTGGGTGAGAAACGATAGCCATAAAGTACTTTACACGCAACTGCCAGATCATTTTCCATGCCCATTGCTTCAACAAGGCGATACCATTACTCATCTCACTGAGTGCCCTTGCTTCTTCATTATCTTTGAATCAAATAGAGATGCTGACTTTACCTTTTAAAGTTTTCTACCAGCTTGGTAAAGCTATTCGGTTTATTTAATGAATAGTTTTTTTTTTTTCCTCATTACAATTTTAATTAGTACATATCTTAGGAAGGAGATAAGAATTTACTAGGTACAGCCAAATATTACTATTGGGTTAAGATTTTATGGAAAATCATGAGAAGCATATTATTGACACTGTTGATAAAGAGCAGGAGAGGGGCACCTGGGTGGCTTAGTCGGTTCAGTGTCCCACTTCGGCTCAGGTCATGATCTCTTGGTTTGTGAGTTCAAGCCCTGAGTCAGGCTCTCTGTTGACAGCTCAGAGCCTGGAGCCTGCTTTGGATTTGGTGTCTCCCTCTCTCTCTGCCCCTCCCCCGCTCACGCTGTCCCTATCTCTCATAAATAAACTTAAAAAAATTTTTTTAATTAAAAAAAAGAGCAGAAGAGAAGGGCACATACATTCATAGCACAGTAATTGTGTGTGAATACAAATGTGCAAGTACATGTATGTTCATTGTGGGGGCAGGATTTCAGATTTTATCTGGAGGCAAATTCTGGCTTCCAAAGGTATTTGGATTAAAAGGGAGGCTGAGTAAAGTTTAGAGTGTGGTTTCATAGGTTTAAGTAGGAGCTATTTTAATAGAAAGATAAGTTCACAGACTTACCTATGTAGCAAACTTAGTTGTATCTCTGGTAGAATGTGTCTGGGATGTGTTTTATTAAATGAACATTCAGTAAAATTGGCTTTTTTGAGGTATAGTTCTATCACTTTTTTAAAAATAAGCTTTATTTTTTAGAGTAGTTTTAGGTTTATAGAAAAATTGTACAGAAATTATTTCCTTCTTCTCCCAGCTTTTTTTGTTCTTAACATCTCATGTACAATTGTTGAATCAATGTGAACACAATATTAATATTAGTACAATACAATATTATTAACTTAAGTCCGTAGTTTTACCATAGGTTTACTCTATGTTGTACAGTTGTCTGGGTTTGGCAAATGCACAATGTCATGTATCCACCATTACAGTATCATGCAGTGTAATTTCACTACTTAAAAATCCCCTGGGCTCTACCTGTTCATCCTTTTCCCCCTCCCTCGGGAACCCCTGGCAACTACTGATCTTTTTACTGTCTCCATAGTTTTGCCTTTTCCAGGAATGTCATATAGTTGGAATCATACAGTATGTAGCTTTTTCTGATTGGCTGCTTTTACTTAGCAACATTCATTTAAGGTTCCTCCATGACTTTTCATAGCTTGATAGCTTATTTCTTTTTATTGCTGAGTAATACTCCATTGTATGGATATACCACAGTTTAACTGTTGACCTGTTGAAGTTCATCTGGAAGTTTGGGCAATTATGAAGAAAGGTACTATAGACATTCATGTGTAGATTTTTGCGGGGATGTAAGTTTTCAAGTCATCTGGGTAATTATCCACAAGCATGATTGCTGGGTCATATAGTAATCCTGTGTTTAGTTTTGTAAGAAACTGCCAGACCATCTTTTAAAGTGGCTATAGTGACCATTTTGCATTTCCACCAACAATGAACAACATTTCCTGTGGGTCCACCTCCTTGCCAGCATTCGTATTGTCAGTGTTTGGATACTTATTATTCTAGTAAACATATAGTGGTATCTCATTGTTTTAATCTGCAGTTCCCTGATAACATATGATGTTGAGCATCTTTTCATATACTTATTTGCCATCTTTATATCTTCTTCAGTGAGGTGACAGTTCAGATCTTTTGCCCATTTAAAAAAATTTTTTTTAATGTTTATTTATTTTTGAGAGGGGGAGAGAGAGCGCGCGCGAGTGAGCAGAGGAGGGGCAGAGAGAGAGGGAGACACAATCTGAAGCAGGCTCCAGGCTCTGAGCTGTCAGCACAGAGCCTGACGCAGGGCTCAAACTCGTGAGCCACGAGATCATGACCTGAGCTGAAGTCAGCTTCTTCATTTAATTTATTCTCTTGGGGTTCACTAGCTTCTTTAATCTATAGATGTATTTCCTCTGCCTAATTTGGGAAGATTTCATGATTATTTCTATGAGTACTTTTTCACTTCTCTCTTTCTCCTTTCCTCCCTGTACTTGATGATAATAGTGTTACATCTTTTGATATAGCTCCACAGATCCCTTGAGACTCTGTTCATTTTTTTTTTACAGTCTATTTTCTCTCTCTTGTTTAAACTGAGTAGTTTCTGTTGCTCTATTTTTCAGCTTAAAGATGCTTCTCTCTGTTTCCTACATTTTGCTGTTGAGCTCATTTGTGAAGTTTTTTATTCCACTGATATTTTCAGCTCTAAAATTTCCATTTGATTCCTCTTTATATCTTCAGTTTCTTGACTGAAACTTTCTGTTTCTTTGCCAAGATGTTCCATGTTTTCCTTTGTTTCAGAGATGTCCTTAATTGTTACTGAAGCATTTTTATGATAGCCATTCAAATCTTTGTCAGGTAATTGTAACATGTCTGTCATCTCAGTACTGGCATCTATTAATTATCCTTTTTCATGTACTTTGGCATCTTTCTGGTTCTTGGTATGATGAGTGATTTTTTATTAAATCTTGTACATTTCGAGTATTATGTTATGAGTCTCTGGATCTTACGTAAATCTGTTTTATCTGGCTTTTTCTGACACCTGTTTCTCTGGTAGGGAAGGGAGAGATGCTGTCTCATTACTGCCAGGTGGGTATAAAAGTCCAGGTTCCTCAAGCAGCTTCCATTGACATCTAAGTGACAGGACTGCAGGGGAAGGGGGCATCCTTACTTTTGGCCAGGAAAGGGAGTTCCAGCTCTCCACTAGACCTCCACAACTACTGCCCTGGCTGGGAAGTGTAGGAGTGCCTTGATATTGTTCCCCACGTAGCCTCTGCTGATATGCTGGATAGGGTGGCCTCCTTAGCACTGTGTGGTAAGGAGATTTCTCACTCTCCAGTAAGCCTCCTCTGATAAAATGCAGCAGGGAGGGAGAGGATTATCTCATTATTGCCCTAAGTCCAGGCTCCCCCTGTGGTATCCACTGAGACTATAGGGAGATTGGTTGGTTACTGCCTGAAAGGGGCAGAAGCCCTAGGTCCTTACTTGGCGTTCTCTGAAATCTGGGATATCAGAGCACCTCGGTTCAGCTTGGCAGGGATGGAAATCTACTTTTTATTTCTATGGATTTGCCCAATATGGACATTTCATATAAAGGGTCGGTGGCCTTTTTAAACTGGCTTCTTTCAGTTAGCGTAATGTTTTCAAGGTTCATCCGTGTTGTAGCATTCATCAGTACTTCTTTCTTTTATTGCCAGATAATATTCCGTTGTACAGCATAGACCCACATTTTATGTTTCTGTTCATCAGATGACGGACACTTGGATTGATCCCACGGTTTGGCTATTATAAATAATTCTATGAAAATTAATATTCAGGTTTTTGTATGGACATGTTTTCAATTCTCTTGGGTATATATATAGGAGTAGAATTGCTGGGTCCTGGCATATCTGTGTTTAAGTTTTTGAGAACTCTGTCTCTAAAAAAATAATTTTTGTCTTAATTGTATTGTGATTTCAGGAAAAAGGCCTGAGAAATTTTGTAGTGTTTTTTGGGTTCTTAGAACTGCCCCCAGACTTAAGGTTTATTCTTTATATTCTTTCCATTAAAATGGCAGGTGCTGATAATTAAGCTACTCGAGAGATCTGTAAATTAGGTGAATATTGAAGTGCTTTGAACCATTATTCATTTTGAAACACTGTGAATGTATAATGATTCATAGTTATGAGTTTTATATTCATAAATTTACCTGTGCTTTTCAATTGTTTAGAGAAAACAAAGTGAGTGCTTGCAATTAAAAATTTTGGTGCTTCGAAATGAACTGGAAAGACAGAAGAAAGCTTTGGGACGGGAGGTGGCATTACTGCATAAGCAACAAATTGCATTACAGGACAAAGGTGAGTAAAAATACCATACAAACAGCCAGCCCCCCATGTTCAGTAGCTGTCTTTTCTTCTTTCCATAGGCTCAGATAGTCATCTTGGTACAAATATGCTGATATAATTTTAAACATTTTTTGGAAGTATTTTGAAGTTGATACATACAGAAAAGGGTACAAACACACACACACACACACACACACACACACACACACACACAAACACACACACTATATTTCAAAATTTCAAAATGAACACACTTACATAAACAGCATCTCCACAGAGAAGCAGAGCATTACACGGACCCCAGAATCTTAGGAGCCTCCTCATGTTCCCTTCCATTCAGGACATCTCTATTCAGTCTGACCACTACCTTGACTTATTACACCAAAATGAGTTTTGCCTCATTTTGAGCTTTATGCAAGTAGAATCCTGTAATATGTACATTCTATGTGTTGGCTTCTCATCAACATTTTGTTTGTAAGTTCCATCCTAACCTGCGTGTAATGTAGTCTTAGTTCATTCTTACTGCCGATAGTATTCCATTGTGTGAATAGAAGTATGTATTTATTCTGGTTTTTGGTAATTTCTAGTTTGGAGCTATTAGATAAAGCTTCCATGAACTTTCTAGTACATGCTTCTTTATGAAGATTTGTTTGTGCCTTTCTGTTGGATATAAACTTAGGTGCAGAATTGCATAGTCACAAGGTATGCATATCTTCAGCTTTAGTAGATTGTGTCCAAAAGTTTTCCAAAGCACTTGCGTCCAGTTTACCTCCTCTCTACCCAGCAGTGTATCAGATCTCTTGTCCTATATCCTTGTCAGCACCTGGTACTTTCTGGCTTTTGCATTTTAGCTTTTCTGGACTGTCTTCTTGCAGTCTTAATTTTGATTTCTCTGAAAACTAATGAGGTTGAATACTATTTCATGTTTCTGCTGTCTGGGATAAACTCCTTTGTGAAATACCTGTTGAAGTCTTCCCCTCTCCCCACTGCCTTTTTTTTTTTTTTTTTTTAAAGACAGGAATTCTTATATATTATAGATACGGGTTCTTTGTTTGAAATGTTCATTAAAACTATATTCTCCCATTCTGTGGCTTGCTAGTTCATTCCTCAGTGATACCTTACGTGAACAGAAGTTCCATTTTATCAGTCTTTCCTTTTAGATTTAAGACTTTCTGTGTCCAGTTTAGGAAATATTTTCCTATTTTAACGTCATAAAGGTGTTATTCTGTATTTTGTAAACACTTTACTATTTTACTTTTTACATTTATATATGTAATTCATCAGGATTTGATTTTTTTGTATATGATGTCAGATAGGAGTCAAGACTTATTTTTTTCATACAGATAGTCCATTGACCCAGTACCATGTATTAAAAACCTGTCTCCCTTGCACTGAAGGTTCACTTTTGCCGTGAATTGGTGGCCATGTGCTCACATGACTGTTGCAGGACCCTCTGTTCCATTGATTTGTCTGTTTTTTTGCCATTATCTCAGTTTTAATGTCTCTCATGTTATAAGTGGTCTTATTATCTGTTAAAGTTCTTCCACTTAGTTGTTCTTTTTCCAGATCACCTTTCTTCATCTTGGCAAGGATGGAAATTTACTTTTTTGTCTTTATGGGTGGGCCTATTCTGGATATTTCATATAAATAGAGTCTGTGGCCATTAACATGACCAAAAAATAGGCTTAATCTTGTTCTTTTGCATTGCCTTATGAATTTCTGCACAGAAAAGAAAATCTAGCTACTATTTTGATTGGGACTACATTTAATATTTTTATCAGTACAATTGGTGATCTTTAGACATCTTTAGAATATTGCGTCTTCCAACCTAAGAGAATGGTGTGTGCCTTTGTTTATTAGGTCTTTACAAAACATTGAAATTAACTAATTGTTTTGTTTTGTTTTGTTTTTTTAATATGAAATTTATTGTCAAATTGGTTTCCATACAACACCCAGTGCTCATCCCAACAAGTGCCCTCCTCAATACCCCTCACTCACCCTCCTGTCCCTCCCAACCCCCATCAGCCCTCAGTTTGTTCTCAGTTTTGAAGAGTCTCTTATGGTTTGGCTCCCTCCCTCTCTTTCTTTTTTTTCCCCCTTCCCCTCCCCCATGGTCTTCTGTTAAGTTTCTCAGGATCCACATAGGAGTGAAAACATATGGTATCTGTCTTTCTCTGCCTGACTTATTTCACTTAGCATAACACTCTCCAGTTCCATCCACGTTGCTACAGAAGACCATATTTCATTCTTTCTCATTGCCACATAGTATTCCATTGTGTATATAAACCACAATTTCTTTATCCATTCATCAGTTGATGGACATTTAGGCTCTTTCCATAATTTGGCTATTGTGTGAAAGAAACTAATTGTTAATACTTGGGTATTTCCCATGATTCATTGAATTTATTTCAGCTTTCTGATGTTTTATGATACTATTGTAAATATGTTTAAATTTTATTTTCTACTTTTTTGCTGATCTATAGAAATACAATTGATTGTTTTAAAGTGATTGATTTTTATTATATGTGCAAATTCCTATATCCCATCCTGACTCAGCATGACTTATAAAGGCCTCGTATGACCCGTGTCAGTCTGAATGCTTCAGCTATAAAGAACTTCTTTTAGTTTCTTCAATATGTTTCAGTCTGTCTTGCTCTTATTTAAGCCTCTGTTTAAATGTTAATGGGATGTCGAGGCGGCTCAGTTGGTTGTGTGTCCAACTCTTGATTTTCGCTCAGGTTGTGATCCCAGTGTCCTGGGATGGAGCCCCATTGACATTCTCTCTCTCTCTCTCTCTCTCTCTGCCCCTCTCCCCAGCTCATGCATGCTCTCTCTCTCTCTCCCAAAAACCCCCACAAAAAATAACAATAAAAAAACACCAAAATGTTACTTTTTCTGAGAAATTTTTCACTGGCTGTCTTTCCTTTCTCCTCTTACCTCTATTAGACATACTACTGTGTGTTTCCATTGCATCCTGTGTTTTTCCATTATAGCATTCTAATTGTTCATTTTCCCCCCTCCTTCTAGACGGTCAGATCTCTGAGGGAAGAATTGCCCAAGTACTGTATTAAATACTCTTATATTCTTGGGGCATGGTACCGTGCTTGGGATGCAGTAAGCATTGAATAAATATTTGTTGAGTGAATGAATCATAGTCATGGTTATCAGTCTAGTGTCATGGGCATCATTGCTAAAGGATAAAGACTTGCATAGCATCTAGCTTAGCATTCATTTGGAACAACCAATACTCTCATGCGAAACACTGTAGAAAAAAACCACTGTATATTGTTTGGCAGTGATTGCTAAAACTGTCTGCACTCCCGACACAGCTTGCATATCAGCCTTTAGACCTGAGAGTCTGATGTGATAATGCCACTTAAAGTCATGAGATATTGTGAGCAAAGTCCATTTCTTGGAGTCTCTGTTGAATGACTCCAAATAAATAGACAGTTGTGTACAGACAAGAGCTGCTTTAGGAGTTCTCCTCTTCTGTGAAAAGGCACGTTTCTTTTGGTGCTTTGGAATTTTTATTATTCTAAAATTGCCTACCACCTATAGCATGTGTTTCTGCATATTTTTTTAAGATCATCAATTTTTAAAATGAAAACACTGTCAGGTTTTAGGAGGGGTTCAGGGTGTTTGCCTTTTATTGATAGCTGTAATGTTTCAGTTACCAGACTTACCACTATATAGATATGATGTGATTTAATCACCACAATAGCTCTATGAGGTAAGTACTATGATTATTGACACTTTACAGTTGAAGAAACCCTAGGTCAGGGTCAGAGACATTAAATACCTTGTTTAAGTTCACACAGCTTATGGCAGGTGATGTCAGGATTAAAATCTATCGATTCCAAAACTCTTGTTCACTGTGTAATGCTACATTTTACTAGAAGTATGATGTGTAAATCCTATGATAGAATAAATATTCTAGCATATGGTAAAAGGATAGGGAGATCTAGTTCTTCTATTATCTTCCCAACTGTGTTTTTTCTTCTTATAATGATAGAGTGAAGTCCCAGGAAGTGTGTTATCATCCTTTAAACGGGTGAACTTATAAACAGTGGTTTCTATCCCATTTAAAAGACTGAGTGTAAGAATAATTGCTCATATTTATAGACTACTCATTACTGCAAAGCAGTGTCTCGTGGTTTTTTTATCTCCTTTGGTTTTTATGTATAGTCTTATGTATTAAGGGTATTACTATTCTCCTCCTAATAATGAATATATTTTATTATCTGGTTTACAGATGAGGAAACTGAGTCTCAGAGAGGTTAAGTGATTTGCCCAAAGCCACATAGCAAGTTATAGTGGAGCCTGTGTTCAGAGTTACTGGTCACTAACTCTGCAGCAAAGGGAGATTATAGGATTTTGTAGGTATCTATTCTAGTGTTTTAATTCTGGCAGTCAAGTCAGAATTAACACATTCGTTTTATTTATTTGTTTTTAACATTTGTTCATTCTTGAGAGACAAAGAGAGACAGCGTGCAAGCAGGGGAAGGGCAGAGAGAGAGGGAGACAGAATCCAAAGCAGGCTCTAGGCTCTGAGCTGTTAGCACAGGGCCCAACGCAGGGCTTGAGCTCATGAACTGTGAGATCATGACTTGAGCCGAAGTCAGATGCTTAACCGACTGAACCACCCAGGTGCCCCAGAACTAGCACATTCTTACATTTCCATTTTATTGTGGAAAGAAAGGATGGAAATGCTCAAAGTTAAATATATATTTGCCAAGATGGGTCAGAATTGTTGATATTTAACATTGACTTTGTACCTCAGTAGCTTTTCTCCCACTTTTATACATGTTTTTGAGATAAATATTCTTCTGAACTCTTAGAATCATTGAAATCTTAGAATTATTAGGATCTAACATTGACCCTTTGGTCTTAAACATAAGCAGGAGAAAGTGTGCTGCTTTTCTGCCATTGGGTATCTCTATAGACTGTGGTGGTCAGCACTGGGGTAGTTGGAAAGAAGGGTTGGCTGGATATAGATAACCAGATTTATATAC